TTTTGGAAGGAATCGGTCTTTGATATTTTATTTTTTTTAAAAAGTATTTTCTTTCATATTGAACATCCTATTTTTTTTATTTAAGAATTTGAGAAGTATTTGCTTTCATGTTGAACCTCCCTTTATTTATATATATATATATATTTATTATTATTATTATTATTTTTAATGAAGAATTAGATGATAAGTAGTTGCTGTCATACCGAGCCTGTTGTTGCTGTCTAGGAGAAGCAAGTGAGATATTGAAAAGATGTCATTGTGATTAGTTTTTCCCATGGGTGATTCCAAAGATAATTTTCTCATCTGTGCATCATATTCGGTACATTTACAACTGATGCATTTGTCGCCAGTTTCTCTCTAATCTAATGTATTAAATTAGCCTACCTGTCCGTCAGAAGATTCATGTCCATCATCTAAAGATGGTTTGTCTCTGCAATAATGCTTTAATGGCTACATTAGGAGGTAACCCAGATTCTCAACCACATAAAGACAGGCCGAGCTCAGTCCTGCGGTCAGATAAGTTTACGCCTCAGTGACAGGAGTGCTCGCTCAGATGCATGCTTCAGTGCCGTTTTACAACTCCCAATATGCCAGCACAGCGTTGCCCTTGTTTTTCAGAATGACATCGCTACAAGCAGTTACACTGGATTCCTCCTGGAAAACATCCTTCTATCCGCCAAAGCCTGTTCTTTTAGGAAGGCAAAAAGAAAAGAGAAACACTCTGACTTGTCTGTTTAACTATTGAGTTGTCAGTTCTCAGGGCTACAGAATGTGAATAAAATATTTACAGATTTGTGGCGAAAAATTGAAATCTAAACTTGCTATGGACAGGAAAGTTTTATATTCATCAATTTGTGATTTTATGACATTGATTTGGTAAGTTTTATCTTTAGAGTGTTGACAGTACCTTTATAATACACCGACAAACAGCTTAAAAACATAAAATATTGCAACGTAACATTAGATGTAAACTCTAATAAACATAACTGGCCAGCTAAGAAACTTTTTTGAAATAAAATGTTTATTTATTTTTTAAAAAAGTCAGCTGTCATACAGTGAATGTCAATTTGTTTTTTCACTGTAAATTATAAGATGACTTGTTCTTTTGCACTTCCAAAAACTACATTTAACTGTATTTTGCTGTTAAATTACATGAAATGTCTTATTAGATATATTACAGTTTTTCAACATAAAAAATAAGGGAACCTAAACTAATCAGCAGGTTTTACTGTAGCATTTTTAGTGTCTTACTGTTAAAATTACAATTATTTCTGACAGTGTATACTTAGGCCCAATTGTAGGGTTGAATTTAAGGGAGAACTTTGCTTTTGAACAACCACTTATATTGAGAGATTCTGTTATTTGACAACTTAAATTCATTTGGTTCCTAAATGCTTCATTTTGGGCACCAGTGGCTCTCTAGTCATTTTATTATCTGGAGCCAGTGGTTGATTGAATGCACTGTAACTGACCTCGACCTGGTGCTTGCGAAATTGAGACGTCCCCCTTAAGACGGATGGCGATACCTCACACGCATAGCGCCCCGATACAATATTCCTGCCTGTCAAGTTGAAAATCGTACGACTAAACTAAGACAAATGGGTTCCATGGACACGAAGACAGCTTAATATTCGGCAAAGCTGAAAATGACATGACTGGAAGGGCCATTTGTCATTGCCTTTGGCTTCATGGCATGTGTGGACATAGATAAAGATGCATATTACTTTGACGGCCACATTAGACCGGAAAGGAGCGAGCTGTGAATGATGCATTAGTAATATTGTTAGTGCTGGTGTCATATAATTTTCCTTCGTTTGCTCGTACGATGAGTAAACAGTTGACATGGCTCCAAAATGCACATAAATCTGGGGGAGGGAGTGATTATATATTTTTAGAAAGCCTACCAGCAGTAAATGCCTGCCGTTCCCCGGCCCATTTAGACGAAGCAATAAAGACGACCTTTTGTTTTCACTGTACGCGTCGCTGTAATCAGTGCCAATAAGATGACTTGTTCTTTTGCACTTCCAAAAACTACATTTAACTGTATTTTGCTGTTAAATTACATGAAATGTCTTATTAGATATATTACAGTTTTTCAACATAAAAAATAAGGGAACCTAAACTAATCAGCAGGTTTTACTGTAGCATTTTTAGTGTCTTACTGTTAAAATTACAATTATTTCTGACAGTGTATACTTAGGCCCAATTGTAGGGTTGAATTTAAGGGAGAACTTTGCTTTTGAACAACCACTTATATTGAGAGATTCTGTTATTTGACAACTTAAATTCATTTGGTTCCTAAATGCTTCATTTTGGGCACCAGTGGCTCTCTAGTCATTTTATTATCTGGAGCCAGTGGTTGATTGAATGCACTGTAACTGACCTCGACCTGGTGCTTGCGAAATTGAGACGTCCCCCTTAAGACGGATGGCGATACCTCACACGCATAGCGCCCCGATACAATATTCCTGCCTGTCAAGTTGAAAATCGTACGACTAAACTAAGACAAATGGGTTCCATGGACACGACGACAGCTTAATATTCGGCAAAGCTGAAAATGACATGACTGGAAGGGCCATTTGTCATTGCCTTTGGCTTCATGGCATGTGTGGACATAGATAAAGATGCATATTACTTTGACGGCCACATTAGACCGGAAAGGAGCGAGCTGTGAATGATGCATTAGTAATATTGTTAGTGCTGGTGTCATATAATTTTCCTTCGTTTGCTCGTACGATGAGTAAACAGTTGACATGGCTCCAAAATGCACATAAATCTGGGGGAGGGAGTGATTATATATTTTTAGAAAGCCTACCAGCAGTAAATGCCTGCCGTTCCCCGTCCCATTTAGACGAAGCAATAAAGACGACCTTTTGTTTTCACTGTACGCGTCGCTATAATCAGTGCCAGAGATGTCTTGTTTGACTACAAGAAGCTCTTTCTTTAGTTTTGTAGATGCACGAAGCATAAAAATGTTCGGGCGTCAAGCTAAAACAATGGCTCTAGTGTTTGTCTATTTAAAGAAGCCATAACAAAACACAACCGCCAACTATCAGCTAAACGTGTTTAATAGTTGTGCTAGTGTTCGTTCAGCTGGCTCACAATTATGTGAAAAGAAACAGCCTGGTGAGAAGGAACAAACTGTGATTTTTATCGAGACTACATGGTCATTTTGTTGCTCTTTAGATGTGTTGGGTTTGTTCCCTCCTGCTGTGACGATTGCTAGCAGGCTCTAGCTGTTATCAAAATCTTTAGCGATCTGTAGAAACAGCATTTTGCTTTGTTTGATATGAAGTCAAAATGTTGCCCTTTTAATGAGTAAAACTGGATTAGCTTGAAATGTTGGGCAACATTCTTGTGAAGACCTTCCTTTATTTACTGCAAACAGCAGGCTAACTACTGTAAACATTACTGGGAACGAGCCCGGATGAGGCACACATGAACGTTAGTGCTTTTGCTAAGCTCTCTCTCTCTTTTACTACTGATTTAACCTGTGCAGTTTTGATTGCTTTATGTTCAGTGGTTGCTCCTTCATAGCTCAGGAGACTTAATAGGGTTTTGGGTGAGGTTTTATGCATCTGGGTTTCTCCTCAAATGTCTTTTTATGGTAATAATTGGATTTTTTAAAGGCTAAAGCTATAAACTACTATACCGTATATGAAAAATATACAGTATGTGGTAACTTGTAGATAACTTAGTTTGAATGTTTGAGTTTATATTGAGATAACTGACTTGGTTTCTGAGAAATTATGACGTGTAATATTTTTATATTTTAGACATATTATATTATATTATAATTTTTTGGATTAAGATCATTTTATTTTGTAAGATTTTAATGAGAGTTTACATTGTGGTCATTGTTTTTTTCAGACTTTAGGACATGTGTAATTATTATATTATATTATATTATATATTTGTAAATTAAGATGATTGTATCTTGGAAAAATTGTATAGTAGATATTTGTTATATTGAGACTTTTGATCACTTCTAAAACTATAGGAGACGTATGATTA